ATTACGCTTATACTGGAATTTCTCTTTCCTTTTTGTTCTTTTTTTCTTCCTTCTTTTTTTTCCACCCGATATTTTCTTCGTTGTCGAAAGAATTCTGCTTGCATTATATTTTCTTTCTTGTTTTGCGTTCTCCGCCGAAAACTCGTGTGCTTTGGCTGTTACGGGAGGCGTGAGGGGGTGGCTTTGCAGGGGATTGAGTCTTTGCCCGCTTTGCCACCGTCGTTGACGCTTCGCCGATAAACCGGGACCGTGTGCACATGGAGAACGGAGTGTCTCTCCTTTGCCTTCGGGGTAGGGAATCTGGGTTAAGAGGCTGACCTCGGCAACGATGGCTTTTGTCGAAGGAACAGTTTTAACGCGCCCGACCGAGATGCCCCTATACGCGCGACTCGTTGCACGTGTAGAGTAAACGACGGAGGTTCTCTTTTTTTCGGGTCTGGAAACGGGCACGATCGATCCCTGTCGAGGACCTTCTCGGAGTTGTTGCTCTCGACAGTTCGTTTTCATCGTTGAGTTATACCTAGGTTGTCTTAAATTATTAGTGTAACATTATGAAAAATACAGGCCTTGTTGTTTCGATATTATATTGGGAGAAATAAAGATTTTATGATGATTCAGCAGGATCAAGGAAAAGCTAAGAAGTCGCTTTCTGTACAGTAAATCATCGATGAGTGCTCGTAAGTGCCGAGAGGCCTTTGAACACTCATCGACGATTTACTGTAGTTGCTAATTTCTTTTTAACACAGTAAATACTATACTATTGATGTGAAAATTCTTTGATATAATGAAAGTATGTGGGTGAATATCAATAATAATACACAGAGAAGTTAATAATTAAATATTGATTGTTCATATTCAAACCATTTTTGCGTTATTGGTAAGAAATATTTGTTTACTGAACAACTTTCGTTCGCTGGTGAAATTTGTATTTCCTCTTTCCAATTTAATTATATATACCAATTTTTCCAATTTTTCGGAATAAAATGTATATGTTATAAAAATGTATAGATATTAACAAAAATCTAATTTGAATGTGCCAAACAGGTATTTATATCATTACCATTTAAAATTCGACTTTAACACTAGAACTACCAAGCAAGTCAAAATGACTTGCCAATACACTCTTACAACGTTCATTAAAATGTTATAACAATACATTTTCTCAGATCTTTTGTAACTTTTATTACGATACGACATTAAAGAAATTAGTTAATTTAGAAATTTGTAAATTTTCAAAAGTTTGCTATATTTATTGATCGTTCGACAAAGGTATGCGTTTATCGTTGGTAGTTCTAGTGTTAATAGTTGCAAAACCTCTTAAGTGTTTATTCATTGGTACATTTATCCTATGTTCTTCCTTTATTTCAACACGTTATCTGTCCCCCAGAAGGATGCTCTGAGTTTCAGTCAGAGAAGAAGGTGGTTTGATTAGAACGATGGAAACATCGCGACGTAATTCGTACGCTCGTGACGTACGAAGAACGCTTGTTTATGAAAAGACACTCGCAGAGTCACGTATTCACGTCCCGTTTTCAAGCATCCCAGGGATTCAACGCTCCGGCGAAATCAAAAGCGTACTTAGATGCCGGGCCCCTGTACGTAACGAGCCACTCTCGGACTTATCTCGGGAAAACACACGGATTTTTCTTCCGGATAATAACCGTCCGCTGTTGTTCTCCTGCATTACTCGCGAGCCACGAGCTTTGATCAGCCTGGTAATGCATCGGCCGCGGGCATGTAAAAAGCTCCGGTAAAATTGCGTCTCGTTGCGGAGAGAAGAGGAGATTTAGGGTGTACGGTCGAGCCTTGAAAGGCCTAATCGTCCCGGCGCAGCCTCTTTGTACGCAAAGTTAATAACGTGTATTTATGTATTTGCCACGTTTAATTGCCTGTGCGGCTATTACACCAGCTCCTGAAACGCTCGCCCCCGCCTTGAATACACGAGGGAGGGTAGTATTAAGTGTACTCGCTCAAGTGCTCCGCGAGTCTGGCAATGACACAAGACCTTGACGTTATACACTGATGGTTCAACGATTGTCGCTGCCTACCGCTTCATTGGCCACCCGATACTCGAACATTTTGCAATTGTAATCGCATCGTCGAACGGATTGAATTGCGGTCAGCCTGGCACGCACTGGTTCAGACGCAAATTTTAGCAGTCTGTTACGCTTATTCAGCTGAAACAATCGGAAAATTCGAAACTATTCATTTTAATAGAAGTAGACAAACAAAAAATGTTTCATCAATTTTAGGGATCCTCTTCGAGAATGTCATCTTTCACTAACGATTTTTCAACATATTTTTGAAAGTATGAATTTTTAGAGATCTCGTTTTTCTATTTATAATGTTCGATGATATGTAATGGTCTGAGGTAAATATTAATGTATAGAACAGATTTAATAATAAGTTTTTTAGGGAACATAAAAGGAATTTGTTTTTGACAAATTATTGTTTCCGTTTACTTCGTAATATTACAAACGAGATATAGAATAGACCTACATATGTAACATCCAATGTAAATTTTCTGTTGCATACATCGGGGGCTGTAGAGCCCCTTTACCATTTGTCAATACTCGACATTACCGATGAAGCATGAATTCTGAGTATTATTAGCACAAATGAAATGTTATATATTCCATTCATATTGCGTGTGTCTATATGATTTGACCCCTCATCAGGTCATAGGTTAAGGGATAAATATAACAGTCATGAAACATGAAACGGAAAAGTATATATTTTTTAACTAACTACAAGACAATTTATTCTAAATGCATCGTTAATGGACATTTTATTAATGTTAGTTTTTACATGTTTTTGTTTTATTCTTGAACCTACCAGCAAATAAAATGGAGATCCTACGGCGGATGATCGATGTCTTCTTTCTTGAACTTATACTAGACTTACAATCGACTTAAATTAACTTACAACTAACCCATTTAGCTGTATACCAAGCAATTATTACAGACAAAAGGAGTGCATATTCTCTGAAGGAGAATATGTTTCAGAGAGTCGATGCTCTCGGATGGAAAGCACCGATTCTTTCTGATGCTAAGTGGCGAGCAACGCCAGTAAAAGTAGTAACTACTCGGTATAAATTACAATTATTTTAGAATGGGTTTACAGCCATTAGCTCGGCATTATCCTCGATTTACAAAAATGCAAATCGAGTTAACAAACAGCAGTTAATTAAAATAAATCTAAATAAAACACAATTACCTAATTATAATAAATTAAAATGAAACACAAGTACCTAATTAAAATAAATTAAAATAAAACCCAATTAATTAAAATAAATCACAATAAAAAAAAAATAAAAAAAAACGAACCCCTGAGTCGAGTTCGGTTAATAGAGAAAACCCCTTGAACCCCCCTTGACCAGTGTCCACCAGTGGTCAGCAATCGTAGGAAGACCTCGTCGAGTTCGGATAATAGAGAGGACCCCTTGAACCCCCTTGGCCAGTGTACACCAGTGGTCAACAATCCTGGAAAGACCTCGACGAGGTCCGCGGACGCGAGTGAACTGAGGATTTTTCATTGCGCGCTCGAATTTATGGGCTCGCAGCCACCGTGAACTTGCGCCCACTGGTGCGCGGACAGGTGCGCAAACATTGAGTGCACTGGAAACTCGAGCGCGCCAAAAATTATTTCTCGATTAATTTATTATTTCTAATAAGGTAATTATTATAACAATTACCTCTCTGAGGAATATTGTTAAACATTCTGTCAGCTGTCTTATAATGCAAATTGTTATTGTTTATAACAAATATAAATCGAAATATACAGAAACATTCAAGATATGAACCGTGTAATGAACTTTTACATGTAATAAATTTTACTTTATTACAAACTATTAAATAATGACTGTCTTAATGTTTATGACGATTGTTAACTAAATATTATTTAACGAAAATGTGCCTTCATAGCGTTTTAAACAAGGAATTCATAAAAATTTGTAGAACAGTAGGAATTCTTTGATCGACGTTTGATTGATATTGTCGTTGATAATAACTGTTACAGTTTTGTGAAATTATTTCACAATAAGTTAAAAATTTCGGCAATGCAATGTTTATAACAGTCATTTCCTCAGTGGAACTTGTTCAACATTGTGTCATTCATTTTACAATGCGAATTGTTAATAATTATGACAGATAGAAATCGAGATATACTGAAACTTAAAAGATATGGATCGTTTCATGAACTTTCACGTGGAATAAATGTTACTGCTATTAGAATATTCGAATACTCGTAACAGTCCTAACTCAAAAACAAAAATTCATTTTCTTGAAACTTCGAAGCAATCGTCTTATTTCAGGCTTCTGAGGGCGATGGGTTTCTCGGACGAGGACACTGCAGAAGTCGAAAAATTGTGGTCCCTCGAGACAAACCGAGAAGAGATCGATTCTTCCGTGTCTCTACCTTCATCTTCCAACGAATATTTATCGCCGGATGGAATTTATTTAAAACATCTTTTAAGCAGACCTTTGTCATCTACCCTTCGTGATATTGTCGCCAAAAAGCTTTTCAATCTGATCGAGTACTTTGGTCACTAGCTGCTAAATTACAAAGTTAAATTCCAGTTGTGTTCGATTATTAATCAATCTTTGGTAATTATTAATTATCTATCAAAGGTTTTCGTTTTAGATATGCGGGGAAAAAGGGAAACGATTAAAGGAATTAGAACTGAAGTTGATGATCGAAAAGGAAAAGCATAGACTAAAAGTAAATTTGTCTCGTTTGTGCTTAAATCAAATGATACATTAAATGCTATCTAGCGGTAAAATTTGGAGATAAGAGTATCGTGGGTATTTAAACATGGCGCTGCCCTTGGTACAATGTTATTAGTTAACCTTGTATATATAATTTCAGTTTGTCTAGTGTCTAGATTTTGCTACATAATAACAATGATCCTAATAACTGGCAGAACTTAAAGTATGTAATTTATTTTACCAAAATGGTTCCTTTGTAACGATTGTATTATAATAAATACAAGTGTAGGTGTACAGAATCAATTAGCTAGGAAAATATTAATTTATTAAAATGTCGATATTACGAACAGTGTTATTTAAGCATTACTTTAATCACACACAATGTCCAAGGTACAGATTACATTTAAAAACAAAATGTTTCATTCAGAATCCTCATTAAAATTGAGTTTCTGTAGATGTCAATGACAATACATTTTTTAAAGATCATTCCACCAATGCAGCACTTGAATAATTAAATTTATTGTTACAGGAATTCATTGTTAACATTTCCATTAAAACAAAGATGCAAATCTCTCAATATACCAAGTAGAAGGTTTAATTCTAACATCAAAGAATGCGTCACTGAGAGTAGTATCAAATTGAAAACAATTCCAGCTATTTTAAAATTTGGATTTGGTGGTTTAGGTGTAGTAGTATCATGTATGATAAAATCACATAGTTCAGTTGTAGAATGTAAAGCGATTCAAGTTTCAAGAGATGTCAGAAGTGATGAAACAGAATTAGAGTTTAAATGGACAAAATTTTTACAATATTTATATCCGTATTTATGGCAATTGTTAATAGCTTTAACTGTGAGTATATACATTTAATATATACTTATGTAACAGTTTTATATTTTATCTAATGTTATTTTCTAATGTTAGAGTGCATTGGCTGTTGCTCTGTTAAACATTTGGATCCCACAGTGTGTGGGTAGTGTAATAAATGTTTTGACTAAAGTCTGTGAAAATAAAGGAGATGATAGAGCAAGAAATGTGCTTTTGCAACTTACGATGCCTGCATTTGCATTGGCACGTATGTACATTGCACAAGTATGTAGCCACTGACCAGTTAAATAGTTGATATTTTTTTATTCCATTTGAGACCATTTATAAATTCGTTCCTAGGCATTCTTCACATTTGTGTATATTTATGCGCTTTCTCATGTGGGTGAAAGGGTAGCAATGCACATGCGACAAGATTTATTTAAATCAATCATTATGCAAGACATCACTTTTTTTGATAAAAATCGCAGTGGTGAAATAGTAAGTCGACTAACCAGTGATATTCAGGATTTTAAAAGTGCTTTTAAAACTTGCATATCACAAGGGCTGAGAAGCACAGCACAGATTGCTGGTTGTGTAGTCTCTATAATAATGATTTCACCAGAACTGACTTCTGCAATGATGATATCTATGTCTACCATAATCTTTATTGGTACATTGCTTGGGAGAAATTTACGAAAATTCTCAGCTGAAGCACAAAGTCAAACTTCAAAATCTACAGCTGTTTGTGAAGAAGCTATACAAAATATCAGAACGGTATTACAGTACGCAATAATAATAGTTAGTTTGTTTTTTCAAATGATCTTTGAAATTAATACTTTTGAATAGGTGAAAGCTTTTGCTGCAGAAGACAAAGAAATAGAAATGTTCTCGAAAGAAGTTGAGCAGGGGTGTAAGTTGTATGAAAAATTAGGCTTAGGAATTGGTTTGTTTCAAGGAGGAACAAATCTCTTCCTTAATGGTATTTTACTTTGTACATTATATTTCGGTGGAAATTTAATGTCCACTGGACAACTGACTGCAGGAGATTTAATGGCATTTTTAATGGCTACTCAGACTGTACAGAGATCATTATCACAATTGTCACTATTATTTGGAATTTATGTCAGAGGTAGTAGTGCTGGTGCCAGAGTTTTTGAGGTACGCATATGAAATACGGAGAACTCTGTTACAATTACAAATAGTTTTTAACATTGCTACAAATTATTTCTCACTTTATCTTTGTGTTACTATTCACTTGAACAGTATTTGGACATGCCACCTTCACCAATGATGGTCACTGGCGAAATTATTACTGACCACTCTCTTGCTGGAAATGTAGCTTTTATTCCTGCTGGTAAAACGGTAGCCATCGTTGGTTCAAGCGGTAACGGTAAATCAACGATAGCCGCCTTATTAGAAAGGTAATCATTAAATGCATTTCCTATCTAATGAATTACATCGCACTGCGATTTTATGTATTAAGTATTGCAAGGTATTTTCAGATTTTACGATGTTGACGAGGGATCAATTACAATTGACGGTAAAGATGTTAGGTCACTCAATGCTCGTTACCTGCGGGGTAACATTTTAGGGTATATAGATCAAGAACCTATTTTATTTGCAACAAGCGTTATGGAAAATATAAGATACGGAAAACAAGATGCTACAGATGAAGACGTAAGCGTTGTTGTTTGCTAAATTTACGCAAGTAATGTATCTTATAATATTTTGTCGGGTATCTCTCGTGATGGAATTTTAGGTCATTGAAGCAGCGAAAGAAGCAAATGCTCATGAATTTATCCTGAAATTTCCTAATAAATATGAAACCCAAGTTGGTGAAAGAGGAGCGCAACTTTCCGGTGGACAAAAGCAACGAATTGCTATTGCTAGGGCTCTGCTAAAAAAACCATCTATTTTAATATTGGATGAAGCTACAAGGTAGGAATAATATGTTTTGTCATTTAGGAGTATATTCTAGAGCATTTCTGACCGTTTATGATTGTATGGAATCTCCTTTAGTGCGTTAGATTATCAAAGCGAGAGAATTGTTCAAAAAGCGTTAGAAGGTGCTACAAAAGGGAGAACAGTTCTCGTAATTGCCCATAGGTTGAGCACAGTAAAAGCTGCTGACATTATAGTTGTGTTACAGAAAGGAGTTATTGTGGAGGTACACATTGAACAACAAAATTTAATTATGATTTGTAATGATATATTTATTACTATAAATTATACTTGCAGATGGGTACTCATACGGAGTTATTGAAAAAGCAGGGTATATATTATACTTTAGTAAACGAGCAAGATAAAGAAAGTACATGACAATAGTGGAAATTGAAACCATAGTACAACTTGATTGTAACCAGTATTTTAAAAACATAATATAATAGCAGTATATTCATCTAGAGAAGAGTTTTAGGAATCTACATTGGACATCTGCAGACACAACTTATATATATATATATATATATATATAACATATTTTTTAAATACGTCTGCACATGTAACAAATTTCTTCCTATCCTTATATTTACAGTCAATTTGTTCTTATACAATTTTAAGGAGGAGTAAGACTTAACATTAATTTTACTTCATTTAAATAAATATCTATTTTTGGGATCTATGCACGATTTGAAGACATTCTGTTCAAAAGATTTCGTATACGCTTCTGGAATCTCTCAGTAATATTCAGTACTGCTGACGTTAGAGGTAATGCAATACGTGAGGGTCTCCTTCTAGGATTTAACGTTTGGGATGAAGTTACATTTTTTTTTTCTGCTACAGTTACATTTTTTATCAACGCTTCATTTGTCTGTATGTTTGCAAGTAAAGATTTTAACATCTCTTCGCATGACTTCGTAGCTGTTTCAGTACTAAAGTTTGAGTTCAATTTAAGATCAGCTGAATGTAATGTTCCATTTTTATTGCTTTCCGTTAAAATTGTTGATTCCAATGATGCTACGATGTCCAACGTCGATGTTAAATTCTGTATAATTTGCGGAATATCGCTGGAAGTATCATCAAGCTCATCAGGTCTGTAGGTTACATATTCTGCAGACTCTGTATTAAAACTATTTGCTGTGTCGGTAGTATTTGAGAGTGTGAAGTCATTAGAGGCATTATCGGGCTCAGGTACAGGCGATACATCTAACAACGCTAGAGGTAGGAAAGCTTGTGTCGGTGTAGTATTTACAGTGCTACTTTCTGTTGGTGTAGTATTTACAGTACTACTTTCTGTTGGTGTAGTACTTACAGTACTATCTTCTGTTGGTGTAGTATTTACAGTGCTACTTTCTGTTGAAATATAATCACTTGGATCAGTCGTAGTATCAATTAAAGCTGTCATTTCCGTAGAAGTAGTCATTTCATTCAGAAGAAATGCAGGATCTGTCAACATAGGAAAACTGGAAGTCATATTTTCGTCATTTAATTCGGAAGACGTCGATGATTCAGTAGATGAAACTGTGGAAGTAAATTCAGCCCAATCAAATTCGGTAGTTGATTGTTCAGTAGTAACTTCTGGAGTTATAACTTCATCTATGGCAGCAGAGAATGTAACACCTACTATAGGGTCAATAGTACCCAGTGTAGTTGCATTGTATTCTTCATTAAGTTCTATTTCTTCTGGTGTAGAAGTTTGTACTAATATTTCACTAGTTCCCGTTTCTGTAGGTAAATATGTTTCATCTAAAAGTGTGAACTCAGTTGTATGTGTTGCAGGTTCCATAGTATTTCTTCCAAGTGCCTCATACGGTTCGATCAAACTTAACTCTGCCGCAGTAGAAGTTTCTACTGGTGGTTCAGTTGATATTTCTGTAGATGAACTTAATTCTTCTAACGATGTGAATCCACTTGTACCACTTGTTAAGTATGCAGTACTTGTTATAGAATCCTCAGTGGTTCCAATCATATCGTATTGTTTGCTTGATATTATCTCTCCCAATGTAGACGTTTGCAAAGATGAATCAGTTGTTGCTGCCTCAATAGATGAATTTAATTCTTCCAATGTTGTAGAACTTATAGTAGAATCCATGGTATCTGAAGGACGTGATATATCCAAAATTCCTTCTGTCGAATTTAAAGTATCAAAATTATCACCAAGTTGCACAAATACAAGGGGCATCTCTTCTATATAAGAAACGGTCGTTGGCGCGAACTCATCTGCGGGATATGATGTGGCAGTGGCAACGCTCTGATAATTATCCGTCGTTACCATGGTGTCTGCATCATCTTGGACTGTGAACTCTGGAGGTATCGAAACATAGCCAGTAGTTGAAATTTCAATACTCATCGTATCGGTAGTACTCAATACGTCGGCTTCTTTCGATTCTTCTTCATTAGGTGACACAATTATTTTTCTTCCTGTGCTAGGTTCACATAGCGGTGAAGACATATTGGAACTTGTATCATTGCAAGTATCACAAAAATTGCACACTTCTGTTTCTGCATCATAGATCATGGTCTTTGGGCATTTAAATATAGTTTGGAACATTCGACTGCCTTTAATTTCGCAAACGTAAAATAAAGTACAATCACCCGACACCGGAAATGATCCAGATTTTGTGCACGCAGGCAATTTTATAGACTCGAACATTTCTCGATTTGCACGGATACGGTCGGTGGTGCATTTTTGTAAATTGGGTTCAAAATAGTGACCTTCCGCGCATTGAACCAGAATCGTTTTATTTCTCTTGCAAATGTAGTAATATGTAGAATTGTTGCAATGTGGCTTCATCACATCCACACCACATGATTTTGTCTTATTTATAGAAATTAATGTGCCACCACCAGATATATTTAAGCAATGTCTTTGGTCTTCATCGAAGTATTGGTTGGTGCTGCAAGACGGTGTCTCAGAAATTAAGGCTCTTCGATGCCTATCTTCCTGATTGTGAACGAAATTTATAGTACTACCATCAAATTCCTGTAGAGAAATGAACTTCAATTTAGAAAAATATAAATTTTTAAATATTAATGACCTCAAAATAATTAATGCATATCTATTTCGAGAGGCAATCGACCATTAGATTCTGTTTAAATCTAAAAGCGAATGTGTAATTTTCAAATTGTTGATTATTTCATTTAAGTAAATAAGCTATTAACTATTTTGAGCAGTGATAAATATCATTAAACCTGTGATTATAAATAACAAGGTAAATTAACACTCACGAACGGATTCTGTACTGGCTGATTAACACTTATTGAGACAGTTTGCAGAATTAGTAGAAGTAGAATATGATTCTTCATATTCAGTGTTTATATTAACAGATTTGTAAGCACCGAATCAGATTTCTTCTTGACTTGCTCGTCAGCATACACTTTTTCGTCGTATCCAAAAGTTTTATGGCACTCGTGGCATCGCGACCCGTTACTTTTATATCAAAGACGTGCTCGATAATAATTACGCGCGATAAGTACACGCATTGGTTGTAACGAACGATGCGATTAACGTCATTTTGTCTCATTTTTGACAACAGAAGAATGCGCGCAACAAAGCCCACTAATTATTTCGTGAAAAACAGTACATTGTCGACCACTGGTATAAAGTGTACCTGTTGCTGTTTTAATTAAGGACTGTATGCAATCAAAAACTGCAAAACGCGTCGGTAAGCACGTTCTAAGATGCAATAAAAATATGCGTATTGAAAGACAATCAAGATTTCGTGATAATGCACACTAATGAAAAATACAAGGTCAGTTAATGCAATACAAACAGATAGTTTGCTTTTATAGAAGCGCCGGAAAATAAGGTACTGAAGAAAGGAACGCTTAGAAATAAAAACAAATATTTATTATTACGACTATAGTGGCAATAGATATAATAAGTCAGTAACAAATCTTTATATACAGTGTTTTTCGTTGAATTACATATCTACAGATGATCATTTTGTTTGTTCATTAAAATAGCGTACACAGTAATTTGCTTCCAGGTATGTTGAAATAGGACTCAATTCTAGGATTGCATATCGTTGCTCGCGATAAAAAGCGGGGACTGTACAATTCTTTTGAATAATTATTTATCAACTGTTAGAGCTTTTTCAGCAATCGTACTGTGGCACTCGGAACGTAAAGTTATTACTTGTAATGATATGAATCCCTGCACCATAATATGGCATCACATAATGTGAACCATCTGCAGGTCCTACGATCTGTGTTGCTATAAGTATAACATCGGCAAACTGGCCAAGGAAGAGGAATCCCAAAGTACTCAGCTTAAGTAGTCCCAGTGCTGGATACCCTAGGTAAAATCTATCTGCTCCAAACATGCCAAGAAATATAGAGAGTAACAATGATGTTTCAAAGGAATATCCATTTCTGGAAAAAAATAATACTACATTATTATAATAATCTTAATTCTATATGCACATATAAGGTGAGCGTACTGTTTTTAATACTTTTATTCCTTACTTATTTATCTGTATATTCTTCATTTATTTTTATGACTTCCACTTTTCTCTCAGTTGCTTAATTTTTATTACAAACAATTTTATATCTGCATAGTATTCAAAATGTCAATTATGATTGTTTTTAATTAATTTTTGTTTTTCGAGCTGAAGCTGATAGTCTTCTGACAGAAAGTTTTTTCCCATTCAAATTAAACAGTTGAGAGAAACATAGTAAGATGCATCAATAATTACAATCTCTTTTAATATCTGGGACATCATAAGGTGTCTTTATGGAGCATCAACATCTATTAGAAGCTATATATAATAATATACTTACGTCCATTTACAAGGAATGTCCTTCTTGAATGTGCTATTCTTTGTTTCTGTACAAATGAGGCCCTCCGCAGCCAGACACAACACTGATAAGAACATAATAACACATAAGCTATATTTTTACTTTATGTAGAACAAAGCACAGTCAAATTTAAAGAAAAGAAGTATTCAACGTGGTGCTGTATCTATCGGTGAACGAAGGAAGGAACGAAGCAATTAAGAATCACTAGATTTGAGAATTTTGGAGCAATCATTAAGTAGTATAGGTTATGTTAAAATATGTTCTTGTTTTGACGAAAAGAGCAAATTTAAGAAGAAAATTGACTTACCCTTGGCTTTATTCTCCTTGGTGCAACCCTTCGGTTGTTGAGTATCCGGATCTATGAAATCATAACCGGGATGAGGACAGATGTACTGTCCCATTCGTAGGTTACTGCAGTCGATCTCGTATGTCTTATCCGCACCATTGCCCAGCGGTATCGAGAGAACAATCAAAAGGAGTCCGCTAAGGAATCGCATCAGATGAAACATGCCGTTTCATTTTACAATAATTACTCCGATCACTACACTGTCACTTGATTCACCGTCCCCAGCAGTTCTCCGATATCCTGTGCATGTTGTTGTATTTTGAACGTACTGCCATTAGAATTTTTTCCCTCTGGCGCCAACTACTAGGAAGATTTATGAACTACAGTTCAATTTCACTTCCGCCCAGTTTTGCTCATTATTGCATGTGTCTTTTTCTGTTACACGTTTATTATCCCCAAAAATGTGCAAAGGAATACAAAATACACGAAACAAAGAAATAATCTATATAAAGGCAAAAGAAAGATAGCGTTGTAAGGTGAGATTCAGCTGCTTTCAAGCCTGTCCTAGTGTTATCTCTTAGAAATTGAGTTATTTAAAGTTTGTACGATAATATTCGATATTATTCACGTTCTGGCGTTACAACCTGTACAATACATTTGCCATTATTCGTGACCGTATGACCGTATGGAGGAACAAACAATAGAAGACGAATTCGATAGTCTAGCATTTCGTTTCGGTAAAATGGCTTCTTCGTCGCTGAAAAGCACACGAAAAACCTACAGTTTCGAGGAGCGAGAAATATTGATAACGTTGATAAACAAATACGAGGACATCGAGGAAAAGAAATCTGATCCTGTATCAATGTGCAAACGGAAGTCGGCTTGGTCCCAACTTGCAGACGAATATAACTCGCTGGTAGGTCCTCAAAGCGTACGTTCTGCTGTGCAATTAAGACGCTGCTGGGAAAACATGAAAGCTTGCAAACGTAATCGAGAAGAGAAAAAGTTACGGTAAATATAATTCTTTCGAAATTTCTATTCTTTGCAAAATATTCCTACGAGAATGCCAATATTGGTGCAGAATGTTTCAAGTAACCCAATTTTTAAGTAACCTAGCTGATTTTTAGCAACAATCTCTGCTCTGTAAAAAATGTACAAATTTCGTAGGTCAAAAGGATTTAAAATGTTAAATCGTTTAGTTGAAACAAATTTAGTTGATAATGTAACTTTCGGTTTGGACGCATGGATAAAGAAATGCATTTACCATCTAGCGGCTAAAGGGGTGAACTAAATAGTTCCCTGTAGATACGAAACCTGTTATTTTTTGTTTTTAGAAATATTTTATTTAATCATAACAGTAATTTTTTAAATATTGCATAAATAAGAACCGTTTCTAAAATTGACACTCATCTATTTATTTCATTTGTTAAAAATGACTATATTCATACAATTACGCGATGCCTACACATGTATAAAACACAAGAGTCTTTAAAGACAAAAGGATTCTGAAATCTATTGGAAAAGTAATTAATAATGAAAACTAACTTCAGTAATTTTTAGCATTCTTGTGATTTTTTACTGCAATTATTGATTGACCCCTGATGATATACAGGACTGCTATGAAATGAATTGCATATCGTCAGGGACCACTTTTGCTAACCCCTTCACCGCTAGATGGCTATAGCGTTACTTGGTTGTAAAGAACGAAGGGAAGGACGTTATAAGTGTTCATACATATCCCGGAAACGATGGCTGAAACTGAAAACTGATAGAACAACCTTTCTATTAATTTTATTGCCCAGAATTTAAATAGTTCATATTGTGTTAATATTTTGGGCTATATTTTATAGAATGTATACAAGAAAAGTCCCTTTACTACTATTAAGGTCTTGAGAAATTAAATAAACATATAGGTATCTATATGCGTTTCAATTTTGTTTAGAACTATTTCGAAAAGTTTCTGTCAATTATCCAAGGACCATGCGCGCTCGAAATGCTGGGAAAGCAGGACTCCTTTGTCAGAAGTTGCGATACCAACCGGAACCGTGGGATTGCCCCCAAATGTGGTATTCGAGCCAAAGGAATCGGAACCGTTCACTCTGCAGAGCGTTTGCCCTTTGAAACCCTCGAAACAGAACTCGAGTGAGGAAAATAACTGTAAAGATTCAGGTTATACGTTTCTTCTTTTTTATGCTTTTTTTACCGGGTTAAATATCATTGATAGACATTTACAACATACGTGAATGTATAAAAAAAAATCCAAATTACATAAAGATATTTAGGTTCTAGTGAGTTTACTAATATTCTTAATATTTGGATAAACAAAACCGTAGTGTAATCATTAATAATGTATATTATCCATACTACTTCAGAATCAATTTACAATAAAGTTAATTCGAATCCATCATCGCACGGATCGATGATCGACGGTTACGAAAAATCGACGAAACGAATCGATACACCTGTTGTCGAAAGAATGGATAAAGAAAACACCCCGGAAAGGAGTCGTTTGATTTTTAAGTCGAACGCGACGCAAACGTTTATGTCACCCTCGATGATTCACGAGCAACCACGTAAAGTGAGGAGATCTCTGCACAGAGAGGAGGAATTGCACGTGTTGGCTCTTTCGGAGGCGCAGATGAAGGTTGACATCGCGGCCATGTTGAAGGAGGAGGCCAGGATTAAACTGGAAGAGGCTCATTATCGTAAAGAGGAGGCCAGGCTAAGAATGCTTCTTTTTACGTACAAGCTTGATAGAATAAAAGAAGATTGACTCTGACGCGATGAAAGCGCGGTATCGTTAGTGATCTTAAACATAGTACAGTATTAGATTAGAAATAAAAGAACACTGCTTATAGTTCCGTTGTACCTATTTATTTCTCGCTAACTACAAATTGAAACGTAATCTTAATAAATAAAAATTCGTAACGCTAACTACTTGATGATTTTTGTAGAGTGGTTTCAAGGAAAGTGGTAGAAGTTCTTCCAAGTCCATTAACTTCTTAGTTTACATACATATCGCGTAGTATGAAATGGTTCGCGTAGAATAGCAACAGATATTTCATTGTAAATGCTTATTGCGTTGTTTCGGAGTAAAGTAAAACGTATGTACGATCACTGTGATTTTATGCAAACGTTATTACGACATTCGCGGAAAGTGGTTGCAGTTGTATATGATTATGGTGATTTCAATGAATGCGTCGGTACGAATATTAAGACAATGGGAATCGTCAGTTTATATTGGCATGGCAATCGTAGCTGGCAGTGGTCATTCGAGTTTGGCTAGCACACTCCGATCAGAATCTTTGGAAGAAGAAATGGAAAGGGAAACAGTAAACCTAATGAGTTATTCGAAAATGCATTTGATGAAGCTTACCGATTACGTGAAAACCAAGCTAGTCGAGCGTGACGCAGATTATTAGAAAACAATACCGTTGAGATCAAATGTCGTATTCTGAAGACGTACGATAACAGTTCGATCATTAAAATTTAATCCATCGATTTCGTTTTTTAAAATACGCTTTACATTTCAGCGGAATTGAAACGGTGTTGGACTACCAATTTCGATTACGTTTGAAATTCCTTCGGGTTTCATCTACATCAGATGGAAGTTGTCATTAAGTGCAGGTTTCGGAGATGAACAACGAGCAACTTCGAACAACGATGGATCGGTGTAAATCGGTTCACTGGGATCGAAGTGAACCGCTCACCACCCGTTGGTTGATCACGTTGCTCATCGATCTGGAGATTGATCTGTGGACACGGAACAGATTTTTGCAAGTCCTGTCCATTAACCAAATTTCGAAAGTGAAGCTACACGTACGTCGATTGGAACGGTTTCTGTAGTCCAGTCCGTAAGAACGAGAAATTATTCGCTCGACTGCTGTAAGCGTCGTCCGAATGACTGCTGCGGTTGCATGTTTTATCAACTCTGCGGTTCTTCGTGATCACTGCATAAGCGTATTTTCTGAAACAATTTCTCCCGATTAATTTCAGCCCTTCTGAACACGGTCGAATGATATGGAACATTATAGAGGCAATACACACCTATAAATCAGCATAGATAATAATACTACGGAAGCTAGAAGCACTACGAGCACCGCGACCGCTGTCACCAGGCCATAATACTCGTTCGGTGTTATGCAAACGTTTTCCATCACGGTGGTCTGCCTTTCGACCACCGACGTTTCTTCGTCAATGTCCATTCTCGAGTCGAGTACCTGTGATGGAAATAAATTAAGTTAACAATAACCACACGGTGCATGGAAATAAATATTTACGTACTTGGGTCATTTAACGCAAGTACAGTGAGCAGTATGAAATAGATAATTGAAATTTCACACTACTTAAAAATCTATGAAATTATTCCCAAAAGGTAGGTGCGTGTCAGAATACTATTTTTTAATAGATTATTATCGTTTGTCTTATTATAATATGAACTGAATTTCAGGTGGTTGTCTCAACTACTGCATACACATTTATAATTTAATCCAAGAGACTTTGTCTCTAACGTTCTAAAATGAACGGATCAAATCGATAAATTTAAACTGTGGATATGATGCCTGTATGATGTCTCTTAATATGCAAAATGCATTGAAATCAAAGACAAACAGTAGAAGCATCGATCCAATAAATTCATAAGAGCTCAAATTTGTATAAACACCACAGTCTACTGTACAGTAAGAAATTTAAAATCCACCTCGATCATTTCTCTGACGTATTCCTCTTCCTCCTCCTCCTCCTCCTCCTCCTCTTCCTCATCCTCCTCATCCCTGGTGTCGCTGCCGTCAGCGACGGTGGAATTCGACGCGGAGGACGTGTCATTTGCACTGTCCCCGATTATCGTGCTTATTTCGTTCTCGTCGACGATCGTGTCGTTCCGCGACACGTCTCGTCGCCTCCTACCGAAAGAGGGCTCGCTCCTTCCGGTCCCGCCGGAACAGTAGGCCGGCTGACAACCGTCTCGACAGGTCCTCACCGTCGCCTCGAACACCAAGAAATTGGATTCGGGGATCTTGAACGCGTTGAAGCGAGCCTCGAGACTGTCGCCTTCCCTTAATCGGTCTAATCCGGGGAACACGTAATTGTCTACCGGACAGCTGCACGAAACATGGCGTTACATTAGGAAAAATCGTTCCTCTCTTCGCTTGTATGTACAGGGTGAGTCAAAAAATATGAAATGTACTTATGAGGTAACCCCCTTATAACACGGTTCTAGTTTCTACTATTCTCGTTTAGAGAATTGGGGAAGTCCCAATAACTGGTATTTCTACAATACGGTTTTCCTCTAACACTATTAAAAAATTGCGTAGAATACCGTAGTTTTGTTAGTTTTTGGAATTCGCGTAACACGGAAATTTTTAAGAACTTAACCATCGTGTTATACGGGTGTTATCTACTTATATCGTCTTTTACGATTGTCACTGATGAGGCCTTTTGGTGTAAGTAGTGTCTTTTTGGAGAAAGTATTCTAGAATGATTCTAAAGGATTGCAGTCTTAATCGGGGGTTCAATGTTGATACTGTGTATCAACACTGACGATTGTATCTTAAAATCAGTAAATCTTGTACGTCGTGTTTTATTGGGATTTGAAAATATTTTAGTGCCTCGAAGAATGTTGTGTCTTAGGATGTCAGTTGATCCAATAAACAGTGAGCTATCGTCCTTCTGCAAGCCATTTTATTTCCACATATATTGTGCAAAATACTGAATAGGAAACAAGATTTTAGATGTGCAATATTTCATGGGACCTTCTAATCATACGTGTATAAAGAGTGGATATTTTTTGGATAGTATTAATCCATTTATTGCAATTGAGTCTAAGGAAACTTTATCCATTTGCAAGGTGTATTGATGTACGATCTTGAAATGACCTTGGAGGCTAGTATGTTAGAAGTAAAGTGGCTTGTAAGTGGATATGTCAGATTTTTTCTGAAGCTTTTCCCCTACACCCTCGATGAACCATCATTTAAGCTACACCCCGTAGAGTGAACCACTAAAGTCCATTATCCTCGTGTTTCTCGTGGTTAGTGGATCAATCTACATAGTTCTTCACTTTAAACGATCTCACAGGGGAGACTTTCAATCCCGTAAAATATTAATGGTTTTCCTCCATGAATATTACTCGATAATTTTCATTCGGAATTTAACTCGAATCGACACGTAATTGATATTATTTTCCAGAATATTTACCCGTATCTGTCGATCAGTTGCACACTCCTTCCGGAATAAGGATCTCTCGCTATGACGTTGGTGGCGAAGATATCGGTCACGTAATTGTACCTACAGGTAAGGTGTTATTATTACCAATTGACTTATCAATAATATTTACACTTAAACAATCAACAGTAAACATTCGATTGAGTTATAAATGACTTTCATTTCACGTTTCGATAATTACTTTTGTCGAAGACGATTGACGATTAACGTTTGTTTAATATAGATTATTCATTGTTATCAAATTTAAAATTATCGTTAATCCGGAGAATGTTTATTATTGCGATTTCATTCATTATGGAAGTTATTTATGTGATTCATCGAGAAAAAAATCATAATAATCGATCGTTATGAAAGAGAAAAAATAGTGGGTCGCGTACCCTTCCTGAGCTTCAAGCCTGAAAGTAAGTGGATCGCCCACAGCAATTGTGGTCGTAGGTCTGCCTTGGTAAAGGATTAGTAATCTCACTCGGGAACTCAGTGTATTTTCCGCTGGAAGGTATTCGATGGGAATCGGGGACCCCGATCTAAACAGTACAAACGGGAACTCTATTAGCGAAATTGAAATTGATCACCTTTCTCTCTGATTTCAATTCCCTCAATTTAGACCACCTATTCAAAAGTTCGGCATAACTTTCATGGTATACGAAAGAAAACAAAATAGAAGGCTGTCATTGTTACCATTTACCTTTAGTTTCTGCATTAGTATTATCTCTAAATTTCAGTAAAGTATAGTCTTTACATTTACCAGATAAACAAAGTGTTTCATTATTTTCATTTAGTAAGTCTGGAAGTTTGAAATTAGTGCAATTTTCTGTTCCGGTAATTATAAATTTATCCAAATTGGACCCCAATAGAATCACGAGAGTAATATTAAAAAGAGATCTGTACAAAGAAGCAATCGAATAATGGGCTTGCACCGGGGTTTTAAGCAAACGAATGCAACCGACGCTGCATTCCACGGTTAATTCCAGGACATGGCGGGTGCACCAGGTGCAAGGCACGGTTTCTCAAATCGATATGACCTGGCATACCCGGCACCGATGTAGCCGGACGTGACGACAGCTTCGCCAGGGCCTCGAAACAGACAGGTCAGGTTGAACCGTTTGTCCCTTCCGGTCTGCACATAGTCGGAGAACTGTACCACGACGATGTTCGTCATCGTGTCACCGTACTGCAACAATTCATCCAATGCAGTACTAATTCACAGTGATTTGATAAACAATTTTATCTATTCCATCGTCTCAGGAGTCTCAGCGTATTTTATTATAACTAAACTGTAGATTTTACGAATATATACTATACTCTATTATTAAATTGAATGTCAGATTCAGTATAATCAGAAGTTTGACCATTGGAGTACGGTTCCTGGGTCCATTTTGACCCGAATGTTTAAAAACCATATGTAACTCATCGATTTCTAAATACAATTTAAACTAGGTCTTGTTCATACTTAATCATATAAAAACAGCAGGTGTTTTTTAACGATCTCGTCTGAAAATATGTTGAAAAAGAAGGAAGCATAGGGGTTCAAACGGATCCCAGACACCACTGTCTCTACGAACATTAAAAATGTCCGCACTCCAACGGTTAATGGTTTTTTTTTGCTTCGTTTGGAACCTGATGGAATCTAATGGTATTCTAAACTTGATTTATGATTATTATAAAAAATTTATGTTTGCGTAAAGATTCAATGGTTAGTTGTAACTTTCAACGGGTTTCGTAGGTTTGTAGCGTTTTTATAGGTGGGAATTGATGTTTGCAGTTTCAGGGCTGTATAGTCAGTACGTGCGGAGATAAGATGATTCCTTACTCTTTGAGTGCCGCATTCAGGATAACCCTGAGGACCGCTGATTCGTAGCACGTTCACGGTGCCGCCGTTTCCACGGAAGAAGCAGCGATCGTAATATCCGTAAGTGTATATCCGGCCAATGAATCCCTCCGGTGTTCTTAAAGTAAATTCCATTCCGTCCTCGCTACAGACTTGACTCACTAGAACGATCAGATGGACAATTTACTGATTTTATTGACTCTATGCATCAATCTTATCTCGACCCGTATCTCGCAATGTCGGCGATTCGTCTAACTTAACATTAGAACTACCGACGATAAACGTACATCTGCTTTTGAAAATATGCAAAAGTTATGAATTGATTAATTTCTTAAATTGATATTGCAATAAAAGTTGTGAAAGATCTGTAATATCTTAATAATCGTTATAAGACTGTACTAACCAGTCATTTTGACTGACTTTGGTAGTTCTAGCGTTAAAAACGTCAAACTACCCTTAACACACGCGTTAAACTTTCGAGTCTCCGATATACCATACAAAACTCTCAACCCAATGTTTCCCGTGATACCGAACTGCACGATCATCCCAAAAAAAGCTCCCCGAAATTACCATTTACACGACCTACAACGAACACACTCGGTACGTGCAACGAAAATAGTCAAAAAAAAAAAAAAAGTAGTATAAGTAACGTGGAAAAAACAGACGGTTTATTTCTCCAAGTTGATTCGACAATGTCTCTGTACAATAGTTCGAAGCTGTATCAATCATATCCACGTGGTGGGTATCCCGCCTCGCGAAAGATCGCTCCGTACCGTCCACGCGGCTGGCGTCCTAGGTCGGCCACGACCCTTACCGTCGAGACACTCCGAGTCGACGCCCTGTCTGCCGTTGTTCCGCTCGTAGAAATCATAATCGGACCCAGTGTCATAATACACAGGGTTCCCCATGTCCATGTCCCTGGAATCACGATCGCTAAGCTCGCAGTTGTCCCTCTCGGCGCCGTATGGGGCAGCGTATGGCCGATAGTTGAACGATCTGCAGACAAAGTCCCTCGCGTCTGCGCACTCCCGTTCGCATTGGGCCAACGAGGAGGCGGTGGTGTACCGTCTGACGAACGGTTTACGGACCCTGGTGTGGGGACCGACCTGTCGGAAATTGTCCTGTTCGTCGCATCGAGAAACTAAAGGTGGTCGACCGATGATGGGACCGCCACTGGTACCGAAAGGCCTGGTGTTGAAGACACCACCCTCGCCTATGTAACCACCGCCGATTATGGTACCGTCGTTGTTGTAGCCACCGTAGCCTAACGGTCGGCTCGCTCCTGCTGCGCCATAATGGGTCCGATCTGGGTGAGGCTGGGGACTGTAACCGTCGTCGACCGGGTAGCTTGCTGGGTAACCGGCTGGATGCGATGGCGGGGGAAACCTTGATATAGAGAGGTAAATATTGTTATTATTATTGTTATGAACACTATGACGATCTGCTAGTTTCGTGAATAACTTTCACTACGCTGCTTGGGTTAAGAATTATGCTAGACAGTATGTAAATAAATTATAACTAATTCACAACAGCAATGTACACACGGAAACCTGTTCGTATACTTTTGTTACTCGCTATGTTCCATAAATCAAGAGCCCAGAAACCAAAACTAATTACACAATAGTCAATCTTCAACTTTCTATCCCTTCGTCCGTCCCTTTGGAACCGAACAATAAACTCGACATAATCCGATCAGAAAAGGGGAGGGGAACAATATCTTTCCCTCCGTGGCTTACCGGCTCGGATAAAGTTCCTTGTCCGGATATCTCTCGCTGATAGGGTATCGATCACCGTGAGGTCTGGCGCCGCCCAAAGCTGTGGGGTATCGGTCCAAAGGATCCTCTGGAACGGGGTACCGATCGATGGTGTTCGGATAACGATCGTTGTCGCTTGGATAACGACTTGGTGATATGGGATATCGGTTACCAACACCAGTTGGGTAACGGTTGTTCGTGGGATATCGGTCTATCGCTGGATCGGGGATAGGATATCGATCGGCGGGAACTGGTCGACGTTCGCCGCCTCTTATTGGAAATCGATCGGTAATTGGATATCTGTCGGAGGATGGGTAACGATCACCCGCTGGATAACGATCGCCTGTTGGATAACGATCACCTGTTGGATAACGATCACTTGTTGGATAACGATCACTTGTTGGATACCGATCACCTGTTGGATAACGATCGTTTACGGGGTAACGATCTCCTCCAGGATAACGATCAGTGACTGGGTACCGATCTATGGGTTCGTGATAGGGCTCACCTCCTGCACCTATTGGGTATTGACCAGTTATAGGATATCGGTCCGGGTATCTGTCACTTGGATAACGATCGTGCGGGTAGCGATCTGGGTATTTGTCCGGGTAACGATCTGGGTACTTATCTGGGTATCGATCGGGATATTTGTCGGGATATCGGTCTGGATACTTGTCAGGATATCGATCCGGGTATTTCTCGGGATATCGATCTGGATACTTTTCTGGGTATCGATCGGGGTATCTGTCGGGGTAACGGTCTGGGTAACGATCTGGATAACGGTCTGGGTGACGATCTGGGAATCTATCTGGCTTCACACTGCTGCTGTACCCTTTATCGTAGTCGTCTGGGTATCCTGTGCAGAAAGGAAGTTTCTTTGGGGTCTGTAAGCCTTTCTTCGAGAGATTGTTAAATGGTGTTAGATACGATCTTTAATTAAGTGTACGATCGATATTCATGACTTGGAAGAGGTATGAAGTTATAAATTGAGACATTCTACAGATTTCAACCGACGTAAGGTCCGTAAATATTTTATAGAGACTAAGCTTCGTCATAATGAAAGTGTAAGTGAAGAAACATAATTATTTTGATTACAAGTCATTTTTGTCATATATATAGGGTGGACCACGAAACGTGACCGGTTAGAAACATTTTTTTGGCTAATATAACATGATTCAAGGGGAGCTTTAAGATGATCGTACCAAATTTCTTTTTAACTCTTTTTTCCCGGAGTTTTCAAGGTTACACCCTGTGTTTTATAGATAAACATTTAGTTTTGTTGACAAAAATTTAGTGCAATCATCTTAACGCTATCCTTGAATCATGTTATATTAGCCAAAAAAATGTTTGTTCGAACAGCTAGCAGTAGAATAATCGAAGCTGGTCACGTTCGTGGTCCACCCTGTATAACAGAATTTAATTGAATCTATAATAAAGAATGAAAGAATGTAATTGATAACAAAATTGTATCTAACCAGGTCTTCCTAATGATGGTCGGCCAAAGTTCGTGTCCTGTCCCAAAGGATCTGGTCTGTAACCTGGACTGTCTCGATCCCCATCCAGATATTGATCTATCCGGAGAATATTAAATAAGACTTTTAATTAAAAAAAAATTATCTTAACACCTTTATTACACAATGCATTTCTGACAGTAGTACAAAACCTCCCAATGAGTCCAAAAGTTCTTTCTGAAGTGAACTACGCACAGCAGACAACTATCTAAAGGTCTTCGCTTATACAGGGTGTAACAAAAATGTTGCAGATCCTTGAAAGGTGTCACTCGTCAGGTGATTTGGAATAAATTTTTCCTTAGCAAACATTTTTTTTTAAATCACCTCACGAGTGACCCCTTTCAAGGATCTGCAACATTTTTGTTACACCCTGTATAGGTAATCATTACTTTTCATTTCCCCAAAGTGATTCAAGCCCTGAAACTCACGCATAAGGTTCTCATAGTAATCGTAGTCGGCATCGTAGATGATCCTGTGCCCGTCACGCTGATTGAATCGACTCAGTCGACAAGTGTGGTAGTGCTCGGAGTAAACTGCGCTTCGGCATTGGAAGCTCGTCTGTCGAAGACACTCGTCCAGGCATTCGCTTAAGCTCCGACCGGTTATTTCCGAGTGAAACTCACCGCTCAAACGAGAATTGCGGTATCGTTGGAACGCTGTGTCGGGACGACGCCCGTCCGAGAACAGGTGAGACGTCGAGCTGCTGTCTGGATACTCGGAGCCACGTGCTATGGACGGATCTACGCTTCGTAAGTTGGCACTGATAAAGGGTTGCGACATACCGACCGATCGATTTACTCTTGTTAACACTTTCAACGTCGTCTTTTACAAGGAAACTTATGTACTCCGAAAATTCCGAGTTTTTCAAAATTCCACAGGTATGTAGGAGACTTCAATAGAAGCATCGAGAAATTCCTCGTTTTTACTGATATTCGGTTCTTCACGGTGAAACCACCCTTTAAAGTTTAAGGGGACCCTTTTAACTTAAATCCACCTTAAAGTTTAAAGGGCGGTTTCACCCTGAACAACCGCATTTTAGGAGGATGAAACCATCCCTTAAAGTTTAAAGGGTGGTTTCACTCTGAAGAATCGCATTTCAGGAAAAACAAAAAATTATCCGACGCTTCCATCGAGATCCCCTAATACTGTCGAGTTCTAGAAAAATTAGCATCACGAAGTCAAGATTTATGATTGGACGTTGAGGCTTTTATAGAACATGCTTCGAAAATTAGAGGTAAATGGAAATTAGTTTTCCTCGTCAATGCTCCCGTAAAAAAGGATCTATTAAATCTATTTACATCGATTTAACACGTTCACTAATTAGGTGTAATCGTAAGTTTCCTCTATTATCGTATTACTTCTCCAATAATTAAATGAATCCCTGTTTCTTATCTGAATTTCAACGATATAGGAATGAGTAATCGAATCTATACGGACGATATATAAATTAGGGGATAGTTTTCTGGTTGTAATTTTATAGTATAGGTATCGAAAATATACTTACGGTTGTCCAAACAGACCAGATCGTAGAAATGATGGCTGGGGCTGCTGCTGATCCCAATATCGTCCTTTTGGGAGACGGAATCCTCTTCCGAGATGACGCATTGCCGCGTCTGCTCGTCGAACTCGACGCTCCGGCAGAAATATTTCTCGGCTCGGAGGCAAAGGGCCTGACACTCGTCCAGAGTTAGGTTTGTGTAGATGTCGACCTCGAACGGTCCCCGAAGACGTTTGTTCTCCTCTTTGACGAAGACGGCCAAGCCGTCGCAACGGCGTTCCGCTGAAAGATGAAAGTCCAATCAGATCGAGATCCTCTCTCTTCTGATAGGTTGGAAACATTAAGAAGCGCCGACAAAGTGTACCATTGAGACACGTATTCTCCAGGTAATCAGAGTTCGGATCGTCTTCCAGTAATTCGGGATGAGTTCTTCTAGTGAAACGGCTCAAAGCGCAGCTTCTCAGCGCTGTGTCGTAGGTCGCTGACCGGCAAATGAAACTGAACTCGTTGAGACATCTTCAAAGAGAAAAAGTTATGCTGTGTTAGGAAAAAATAGATCGCTATAGGTTTAATAATAATTGGAAGAAATTGTTGCTTTTGGAACATGTAGCTAACCCTTTGCCTTACAACATCGACTTAGACACGTGACAACGATTTCAATATATATTATTTATTTTTTTCGAGTCGACGTAAAATACTGTATCGCTGGTATCAACATTTCAGATGCAGAATAAATATAACACCTGTCATAAAAATAGAATTCCTTTTGTATCTGGGAAAATATTAACGATAAAGTAATTCTTGAGAGTGAAATAAAAAAAATCGTATGGCAAGGGGTTAATATTACTTTTCTTTTCTAGAGTTAGCTTGAAACGAAAGCAGTACTGTCTATTATTCTGTTAGTTTGGGGAGTAATTTTGTGGATTGTTAGAAGAACTGTTGGATTACAGTTACCTGTCCTCACAGTCGGTTCGATTTGCAGCGCTGACTTCCTTGATGTCTGTCAATGGCAGCTTTAGCTTCTTCCTTGGATGTCGTTCGAATACGTAGCGTCTGTTAGGGCACTCTCTTTCTATTCTGTCAGCTGCGCATATTATTGTTAAAATTATTGTACACAAAATAACAATTTTGTCAGCCTTCGCGTAGAAAAAGCTGAAACTAGTTTGTACAATTCTAATACAAAAATATAGTTAAAGAGCCATGTAATATTAGAAATCTGAGTAATTTTTTATACACAAATGGTCAGTGAAAAAAATGGTAGAATTGTACAATATCAGATATCAATACTTTTAAAATATAGGGGATAAAAAAGTAACACAAGTGCCCAGAGTCAACCAAAATTCCACGATTAACTTACAACCAAGGCAAACTTCCGTGAAATGGACGCTATTCGGCACCAGCATTAGGTTACCAATGCCTTCCGGTTGCGCCTGTTCCCTGGTCAGGTAGCAAGTACTCTCTTCATACTCGGCAGCACCACTGAAAGACGCTATTCTACTGCCAGGTTGAAAGTCAAAGCTGGTACAGGCGCGCACCAGGTTGTTTGTCGCCGTTCTGTCGCGTAGACAAAGCTCCTGACATTTCTCCAGAACTCTAAATGGCGGAGCAGAGTCCCGCACCTGAGGGAAATATCGATGAATGCGTCATCAGGATCCCAGACACATTGGAAAGAGCGAAGAAATTAAGAAAAGCAAGAGGACTCAAATTGGTCCAACGGAGGACCTTTAGATCGCTGATTATTTATTAATAAATTCGTCTTTTTCCTAGGTTCTTGGATAGACAGGGGGATAATTCCTAGGTTTATAAAATTAGTCAGATAGCAATTTAATTTTATGAAGAAATATTTGTATTTTGTGTTGTCGCACTAGATTTGATATTTTTTCAATAATAATTGTACAACCGATTTCCCAGGGTGTACAAGATTGTTTTTTTATCTTTAGAAAATTCGATAGACAGATTTTCATGGTGTAACATAGTGATAACAAGAAGTTCTTTTACGAGACTTCATTTTCGAAAAGTTCCAGTATAAAACTACGCGAGCGGAAGCACCCAGCTGATAGCCATCGGTGCTCAACCGACTTCGAAATAGATTTCCATGAAAGAGGTGACATTCCAGTGGAAAATTGAATTCTACCATTCCGTTTTATTTTCCTACTTAAACTTAGAAGCCGTGAAAAGTGTTCCCGGAATATTAAGAGGGTACGCCACCTTGTAGGCCTGAAAAAGGTAAATTTAAAACTGTTTTCTCAGGTAATTAATGAGTAAAATGTTGGGTTTCTTTAAGGGATGTTGAGCAACATTTTAACTTAATGTATGAAGATATGTCCTACCAAACATGACAATAAACAATGTTGTACAACTCCGCCATTTTGTATCTTTAAATAATAACTACACTGTGTGATAAAGAAGTTAAAAATATTGCTCAGCGCCTCTTGAAACGATCGAAATATTTTACTCAATAATTACTTAGGAGGACAATTCTTTTTACTTATTTTTTTAAGCTTACAAGGCGGTGTATTCCCTTAGAGATGTATAATTCGTACCACGTCATCGTCGAACCCCTGAAGCTGTTGGTCCGGAAGTCTCTCATAAACGACCCGGCCTAGACCACCATTGCACGTTGTTTGCCCTGAAAACAGTTCTTTCCGTTATCGTGCGCTCCGGAATGCGTTTAATGGACGGTATTTTTTTTTCTTTTTTGTTATTTTTCTGCAAATGGATTATTATTTCCTCTTCCATTACACCTCCCCCCCCTCTTCGTCCTGCTTCTCCTCTGCTAGAAAAATCAGGTTACTTCCTTTGGGGACGGCGGCGTCGAGTGTTGGACCCCGCCACACGATTTTATCGTGCCGCGACATTTTCGTGCTACAAGTGGCACGGACGAGGCTGGATACAATGGGAACGAAACGTAATTTCGCAACCGCTCGAGTGACATCACTAGCGTTCCGCGACTCCATCATTAATTCGCGGTATGTACTCGCGAGAGTATGATCATTTGCGGATTCCAGGCGACAAAGGGAATTTTTTAGAGCATAGATCTCGGGTCTGTTAGAGGTAACATGGATTTATGGTACGACGGAAAATATGTATTTGTTGGACAACCCCTGTTGTTTATGTAAAATATTCCACGCTGTACATTTTTACGGAAGAGTTATCAAGCACAACGTGTTTGATTTAGTAATTTATTTTTCGGAAAGGAGGAAATATACAGGATTGATGGAAAAGGCTTCAAGACTTTAGGAACTTATAGTAGTCACAAAGAGGAGTAAGAAATGTTTCATCAAGGTCCTAAAACCTTTTCTTTATCACCCTGTACACTTCGAATGTTGTATTATTAATGTCTAATGGGGTACTTTGATGACTTAGTTAGTGTAAATTAAGTAAATTGAGTCAGATGGAGTTGTACTTACCATTGACTATCACTTTCAGAGTAGCAAGAACGGAGATAGTTTGCAGTATGTCCGATATATTATTGAGTCTTTTCATTTTCACTTATTTCGGTTCAAGTGGGCATTCCAACTCCGATGGTACTCTGAAATAGAAAATCGACGATGTTTTCTAACATAAATTTGTATATCTTTTCGTCATCCTATTTTAAACTTGAACATTTTTGTTCTTAATGTTTCTATCTCCCGATACTAACAACAATTCAAATTTTATGTTGATAATAAGATAAATTTTTTTTAGATATTGTAATGAATAGTTATTCAGTAGATGATATAATAGTGTGTATGATTATTTCACTACTTTCCTGCTTCGGTAATATTAAATTTCGTAAACTTGAATCTCAGTTTTCTCGGTTTAGAGACTAATGGAGATAGAACAATTACGAACTAGATAGACGATATTATTCTTGAATTTTATATGACTTCATAATGATGTTTTACCTTCACCATTCTAATAATCAATCTTTCACGCAATATAATTCACTTCGGGACGGTGCATTAGGAATGATAACTGAAATGGCAATGGCAAACTAAGAATGTAATGCTTGAAAGTTGGAAACACGGTTCGTTGCCTTTACGGGCGTGTGCTGGCCCTCTGTGCACGTGTGTTGGTGCGTGTGTAACGCTCGTGTTAGAGAAAAGGTTCACGGGGGTGCGAGCGTGTGGACGTGGTTCAGGGTGAGTGCAACTCAGGAATTCCATAAAACCTTGCCGCTGTCTCTATGTGCACTTTGAATCCTGCTCCGATCACATCTGAACTTCAAAGTTACGTATTCATAAAGTAAACAGGAGACGCTCCGACGCGTTTCTAAAAAATTCTTCAATACCCTTCCTGGATGGGGTAGCGGAAAAACGGGACAGGGGATTTCATGCTTGCAGAGATGTGCAATATTATCAGAGAGCTTTCGGTGAGCAGAAGCTGAGTAAATGATACAATACGAAACTATTGTCTTTTCTGGGTATTTAGAATTTAGTATGTAATAAATTGAAATAGTAATTACGGTTTCAGCATTTCTGACAAACTTAATTTGAACAACTTGAATTTGATGTGTTGGCTATAGAGTATAGAGTATAGTTAATGGTAGGAAGGATTAATTATATTGGATTATTTAGAGTTATTGCAGCTATTGAAAACGTTACTTTTTGGGATAGTTAAGATTAGATGTTATAGATTATTATTAGGTGGTTAGGTGATCGCTAAAAGTAATTGAATTCATGAATTGATTCTCTGTTGTAATGTTTCGGAGCCCTTCGTTAATTTGTTTGTCAAGTTAATTATAAACATTGAACCACAGAAGAATTCCAGGGGAACTGTATTAATTGGAGCAAAATTCACAATCCCTGCACACGTGGCTTGTGTTTAACTCCATTCAATGTTACCTCGCATAGAAACGCTGCTTATTAATTACGTTATGGTTTATCGCCTCGGGTAATTGTACTTGTCTGTCCAGAATGAATGCTTATTCAGTGATTAATGTTACGGTCCACGAGGGAAAATTATAGGTCCGTGTGCGCGAGTACTTAGCATATAGAATCGTGTCCAAATGATATAATAATTGCAGGTTATTAAATTTACATAATTGCGCTGATTCTGTGGTTCTAATTATAAGGTTTGAGTGGACATTTCACGAAGTAATTAATTAATATAGTTAAAGACATTTATTTCACGCATTTTCCGTAGGATTTAATATTTTTCACGATGTATCTCGATGGATATACTCATTTTTGATTAACAAATTAATATGTTTTCACTTTCCATGTACAGTACTGTTGCAAAAATAACTTCTACGTTGCAACTATCTTTATATAGTTCTAAAAATTACTAAAACTATTACATTATGGATGTTGAGTTTGATGTAGTCGACGTTATAAAAATAACTGAGAGTATTACGTTATGGAAGTTCAGTTTTTTGTCGATGTTTGCCTCGTTATGTAGTACAAAACAAAGCCATTATCGTTCTGGGTTTCAATTTGAATTCCAGATGATACATGGATAACATTGTTGCGTGTCTCGAACCGCCTCAGAATTCTTTTGATTGCTGCGCGATATTAGCGTTAATACCCACATAATGACAGATTATGATCACTGGTCTGGAGGGTTTCTCCAGGAATAATTTCAATACATTCGACAGAATAGTGCACAAAGAATAACTACAATTTTATCCTGTTTGTTATCTTACTCCATTTCATCTCTATTTATTACATATTATTCGCATCAAGCGTTTCATTTGAAATTATTTATTTGCATGCGTGTTTCATTTGTGTACAAGGAAACACGTTACTTTAGTACGAGTATTTGTTACATAAATCTGATATGAAGCAATCCGCTATTGCTTTAAGAAGATGATAACAATTCAAACTTAAAAAATGTCTTCATATTTTGCTTGATAAATATGACAAAAACTATTGGAAAACAATGGAAGCTATATTCTTAAGATAGCATACGTTTTTGATTTTTATAAAAATGTACATGACTTAAGGTCGATCAAAAAGTCTTTTGTTAATATTTTCATTGCCGTCGACAAACTCTTTCGATTCTGGTCAATGAAAGTAAAGGCAGTTCAATAAAAAATTACATCGTCTAATAGTCATCCAGGTAAAGTGTCTAATTAACAATCAGCGGATATTTAGGTATACGGTGCAGTAAGATTTCCAAAGTTTTATTTCCTTGATCTCGGTTTTCGTAGAATTGTCCACGAAAACAGAAATGTACATTAATATCTACCGATTATTAACTAATCAGTCATTACCAAAGACACTTATAAATCTAGCAAACAACAAAACCACTGCAATCATACGTCGTTGTTTGATCAGACAAGGTTATTCCACTTACGGATACGTTAAGACAATCTTCACAGTCCACTTCCGGTTCCCCAAGCACCGATCCGCCGAAACGAGTCCCCCGCTTCTACTCTGAAGTCTCGGGAACTCCTGGGTCTCTAGGTATCCCGAACAGCTTTCGTGAACTGGTCGTACAAAAATCGTAGAACCGTCGTCCGTCCAACGCGAATGGCACCTGTAATCAAACTGACGGTCAAAATCGGCGCCAACCGTGGAAATAATGGATAACACCTGAGCCGTGCAAAGAGGGAGAGGAGGGGGGACGAGATGGAAGTATCGTTTCGATGAATGATTCGTATAGACAAGCCGTAGGGGGCAGAACACTGGTGGTAGAGATAACACCGGTGGTACACAGGCGCGGTGGGATCCCCACGTCCGATTTCTGGCCTTGTGCTCGCCGGAAGTGACTCCATTGTGTCCGGTTTCCGTGGGGCCATCCGGGAAAACGTTCGACGTGCGTGTAAACGCCAGGAACACGGGTTCTCAAGCGTGGAAACATTCCAAAACTATCGTGAAGGCCTATGGATTTCGATATTTTATTGTCAATTAAAATTGGTATCGTGGACCATTGAAGTGTGACGAAAGATGAAGGACCCAGGGGGGCACGTTTCGTCCATGTTGGAGTAATTCCTGTACCGTGAGAAACTGTTGGATTGGAGTGGAGTTGGGAACGACCCCCCAGGGGCTCACGGTTCATCGTTTGAGAATCGATGCTCGCCGACCATCGCCATGTCGGGTTGATTGTGCCGATGGACGATCGCTCGTAGCGGAATCATGGATTAGAGATTCCTACCCGAGGTCAACTAGGATGAACAACGAGCTATGGGATAGGTGGCAGACGACTGATCTGTACGCTACTAGTTTCGTTTGTTCTCTGTCGCCGGCTATTTTTAGCGTGGTTTTTTCATTTTTATTTAAATTTTTCGGGACCGCGAAGAGAGATGATGACCCTAGATCCCCTTGGGGATTCAACGATTACTATTGAATCGTTGTCCTTAGCATTCTAATGATTAATGATGCTTTTTAAGGGACGTTGACTTGCGTTTACATTTCTTTGTACGCTATTTTATTGCGTAATGTGTACATGAACGATCCTGGATGGTTATAATGTACAGTCTTAGTAATTAATACTTTGTTATTATTATAATAGAGAACAGTATAAATTGTTTGCGAATATCGTTGATAGGAACTTCAGTATTGTATTTTATCTGATAATGATCGACTTTGTATCCTACAAATTTACACGGAATAATTATAGTTTTGCATCATTAGTTACATTTAATTATTTTGATTGGTATTACGCTTAAAAATGAACTTTTCTATTTATATTTAAGTGTCAAAATTTTCTCAAAATCAATGGAAATACTAAACACTTGTTAGAATATAAAATACTCTAGCAATTTTAGTTTAAGAAAACAATAGACAGTTCTGTGGCTAGCACTGTTGGATAATGCTTCGATCCGCCCTCTATTTATTAGTTCTTCAATATAAAGATTCATAGAGTTAAATTAAATTGGGGTAACTCTATCAAAATGAGGTATTTGACCTGCTTTGAAGGTGTAACCCAATTTTTACAAATTTCCTTTTTTTCCTGCGTTCTTTATTTTTCTGTTTGCTTTCTGTTATATTTTTATCTTCCTAATCAATTCTGTATCACTATTCATTTTTATTTAGGCGTATTGAAATACGTAATAAAAACGATTAATAATATTGGTTACAATAATGATTCAAGAAGTTCAAAGAAACATGTTCGAATCATCTATTAACGGAGAGAATTTTTAACAATTTGAAAGTGGAAAATCTATTACATGTTGAAAACATAATATTGAAGTATCGCAATGAGGTATGTAGTCCAGAACGTTCAAATTTCCCGCGTTATCGCGTGCTACATTTTCGAACTAATCGTCACACCTACCCCACCTATCTATCATCTATATTCGCTTATGTCTATGGCAAGAACTGTCAAGTGCTCGATAGTTTGATACAGTCAGCTGATGGCAAGATGCAATTACACGTTTTCTGTGATATTTAATGAAATCGCTTGTAATTTCCGTGCGCAACCGTGATATTCCGTGAGAGACACCGATTCGCAGCTAGTTCATCATCTATTCGAATTTCTTTAAGGGATTTCCGCGAGGTAATTTAGTATTACATTAAAGTCAAAAAAGTAATTCCATAAGTACACATATTGATTTACGATAAATTCATGGTTAAGCTAAAATTAACGAGAGTTTATTTAACCCTGAACATTTTCTAAGTCACAGTGAAGGGATTAGTCTACATTAAAAACGTCAAATATTACATTCATTTGCTTTTGACATTTGTCTGTTATAGAGGTTAAGATAATCCCCCTTTTAAACAAATCTATTTCATTGCATCCAACATGTACATTTAAAAGATCGAGCAACTGTGGCTAACTATTTTTACATAAAATGTATTCATTGTTTTTACAGGTAGAGGTGCAAGAATTTTTATAATACAGTAACTGAATCAGGACTGACAGGATCAAGATGCCTTTAACTACAGGTAAATAAAATTCACTTTCACTTCAATGTATTTCCAAATAGCTCAGTTATATAAGTGCACTGATTTCTTTCCATAGAAATGACAGCTAGATATAAGCTTACTACTCATGATATCAGTTTTTGTAATATTTGTATTTATTAATATCACTATGCATCATTTGTTTTTTCCTTACAATTTCAGATATATCCACAGCTCTCCATTTATTGGAGCATGTGCAAGAAAGGGTGGAAGATTGCGATGATCCTAAGTTACAAATGCACACGACTCAGGACATAAAGTCTTTAATTTCTTTGCTGGAAGATCCAGTGTTCCGCAGTATAGTGACAATACAGGACTCCTTAATCGAGTTGAACACTCAATTGGGTCAACATCCATCCATCCTGCCTGGAGATTTTGAAATCAATATCAGTGGACAGTTGGAGCTTTCTCTTCCTAGCACACCAGTGCAACCACTCGGGCCAAATATGTATCAAGATTTATATCAAGACAGCAGTGAACTCGAGGATCAAAGGGTTCCTGTTGCTCCATTGGTGCATAGCAGCAGTGAGGATACAAGTGCACAAGTAAGTTACTTCGATTCTACTTAAAACCTCACTTGGATATTATTTATGCAAGATACAGCATTGTTATTTTATTATAGGTAACAAGCCCAAGCTTGGTTTCGGAAGTTATGGGTATTCCTCCAATTACGACAACCACATATGCTAAAGAGTTCAAGAAGGTTATTGAAGCTGCAGCTAGAGGTCGACAGATATTCACTGTACAGGTAAATACATATTATCTATTACAATTTATCATAGAACATAAAAAGACGATCGTCTGATGTAATAATCGCATAATTAATTTTCAAGTTGTACAAGCCAGAGGGTACCAGTCTGGGGTTCAGTGTTGTTGGACTTCGCAGTAAGGACAAAGGGGAGCTTGGCATATTCCTGCAGGAGATACAACCCAATGGCATAGCTGGCTGGTGAGTCAAACTATCTTTTGAAAAATTTATTAGCGTATAATAGCATGCCAGTAACAACGTATGATAATTTCTTTATGATACACATCATAAACCATCGATTTCTTAAATTCGGCGGTACATAGCATACATAATAAAAATGGACGTAATTTTTTACGTCATTCACAATTGAGAAAATAGTTTAAGCTTCACAACGGGCTTGGTTTATTTATAGCCCTAAACTTTATTGTTGTGCTCGATTGCAAATGCAATAAGTCAATTTCATTAAGAGAGTCAATTATTTAAGATTAGATTAGCTTTACAATTTTATCTCGGATTATCCAAACGATTTTACTTCGACTACATTCTACTGAAATATTTTCGATTCGTTCGTTGTTAATTAATTTTCTTTACCGTTAAGATATCTGGCTCACATTCTTCGCCTAACAAACTATGACATAAGTTAATCTAATTTCCGCAATTAAAAATGCTGCAGTCGGTTTAATGCACTTCAGCCGGCCCCGTTTCCAGGCTTTAATCTAGACATTACAGTAATTACACTTTATCCGAGTGTAAGCACCAACCTGGCTTTTCCCTTAAACCTGTAATTGTTCTCATTTCACTTCATTTCTATCTGTGAAAAATTCCAAGCTTAGCTTTCCTCTCAGAAGTGAACACAATCCACAAAGTCATCAGTAAACTGCAGATTGTACATACAATGAAACAAAAACATTCAACAAGGATTTAAATGAAAGTGGAAGTTTATATAAAGTCCACCCATCAGTGTCACCTACAGATTTCGCCGACGTTACTCAACCATTCACGGGAATATAAATTTTCCTCCAAAACCTCATTTTATAATCCCCTATATCAGTCGATACTCGAAGGTGCACAGGACGAACCCCTCGACCCAACTTCATTCCAATCGGGGGCAGTCGAGCAATCTCTCCCCTATCTTACACAACACCCTTACCCAGCAACACGATTCCGTTCCCGCATCCGGAAACCTGTCTCCCGAATTCGACCCAAGGATCTTAATTCTCGCCACTCGAGTCCACCCTCTTACGCCGTCCACGGGTCGAGTCTCTTTTCCACCCTCATTGTGCCCGTGCGCATCCCTTCAACCCCTAACGCGGCATTACCCAACGTTCATGTATCCAGTGACAGTGTACTTAAAGTGGAGGGGGTAGTATCTAAAGCCCCCATAGCTGACGGTGTACAAGTCGTTGTTTTACGACCAGGACCGTTTCTCCTCCCTCTCGTAATAACAACGTTGCTCCGCGATACCATATGGTGTCCCGTTCCGGCAACAACGACCATTTCCTACGACGAAACAGAGCTGGGCATAATTTTGCGCGAATAATACACAGTGGGACGAAGCAGTATCTGAGAGCGTTATCCTGACCTTTATCCCCTAGACTCTGCATTTCGTACGGACCCTACGTTTGTTCACAAGTCGCCTGGTGTCAGTATCAGATATGGACCCATACAGAAAGTCTCGTCTGACTTTCCTACGTTTGTGTACAGGGTGTTTGTGAAATGGGGATATAAACTGAAAGGATGTGATTCTAGATGCAAAAATAGGTAGAAAATATAGAATGACACTTTTTCCTACCATGCTTCGTTTTCAGAATGATTAGTTTTGAGGATTCATGTAACGCGTATGATGCACAGTTGATGATCAGTAGAAACAGAATGCAATGATCAGACGTGCTAGCCAAGTGCTACTCGATTACATACGTAGCCAATAGATTTTCAAAATCGATTTTCTTGTAAATAGAGTCGCGAGTGAAAGAATTTTATTTCATATTTTGGGCTTGTTGTTTTTTATGTCTTTCTTTTCCACTCGTTGTTCTTTTCTCCGTTCGGCGTTGATTCTATACTTTCGAATCTACCCCTCTACTTACTAACTACCCGTGCTCCATCCCAATTTTCGGTCACTAATCCAGATTTTACTGTACTTCATTCGTTATTCGAAACTCTTAATCCAGACAATGAATTTACCCACCCCCCATCGTCTCTGAAACCCCGTGGGTCTTTTTCCGTGGTTTCTCGGCACACCCAGTGTATGCACAATGCGTTGGATCGTGGCACGCATGCCCGGTTACCTACCCCGCTTGTCCGGAAGCGCTCGCCACCCGTCGAGGGAAAACGGCGTCCGATGCCTTTCGAAAAAGAACCGCCCACTTTCCTCCGGCGCGGAGAGAGTACAGTCTTCGACGGATCCTCGGTGCGACAGGAGGCGCTCTCGCCCCTCCCTCTCTCCGTTTCCGGTGCTGCGCTCCCCCTCTTCTCCCTAGCATCGTCGACACACGTCCCCCCTCCCCCCACGAAGTCGTATTATGGTGGAGCGGAGGGAGAGAGAGAAAGACAGCTCCCGACACGTCCTCGCTGTATACACCACGAGCAGCCCTCCTCGCGCGTTCCCATTCGTGCACGGTGCGCGCCCCCGCGGCTACTATCCCCTCCCTCCTCCACCCTCCCGGCCTTCTGGCTGCGTCCGCTACCCTGCCGCCACGAGGAAGGGTTCGATGTTCCTTTAGTCCGTGCGCCACGTACCGCGGAACCGTGTGCACGCTCGTGAGACATGTAGCTCTCCGTTCGGACGACACCCGGCCGACGACGCTTTTTTTGTTTCTATATTTGTTGCACGCCCGGAATGTGCCCTTCCCCGTTCGTGGATTGTTGTTTGGTAATGTTTGGTGATCGGGAAGAGTGAACAGCGACCGGACACGCTCGGCCAGAGTGGAAGATTGATCGCCGGCAGGGAAATCCTTCAGGTGGTATGTGGATTTTTGATGTTTGGTTCGGGGGTTTTCTGTTTTGATCGATGTTGATGAATTAGGGTTGTTGGGATTTTTTAGGTGTTTCGAGGGATGCTTGGATTGATTCGTGTCGCGTGTGAGAACTGTGAGTTAGGGCTTGGTTTAATGTACCGTGGGACATGGGGGTCGAAGTAATACGAGCTTGTGTTAACCCTTCGCTGTTTAAATTAAGCTTTAGTATACGGGGTGATTCCATCTTAAAGGAATATTTAAGTTGTTTTTGCTGTTTTAGTAGAGATGAATATTTGAGTTTGAATTTTTCTTTGCTATTGAAAATTGTGGAAAGTGCAAGTATTTTGACTTGATCTACGTTTCCTTCATGTGTAGAGATCATCGAAAATATTCGAGCAACAGTTTCCCATATCCGCATTGTTGTCGCAAATTGTTTATAATATACTTACTCTGTATACATTGTAAGTATTTCGTCTATTTACAGTATCTAACATAGTCTAACCCAGTATTTTTTTGTAAACGGAATGTTTCGTGTAACAGTTGTTTACACAGAATATAACCAATCGAATACACGCTCTCTGCCTTTATAGATTGATTCGTTTGGAAAATACTTCACGTGCAATAACACAGTACTTATTTTTGTACCTTTTTTCGCAAATTTACCATTCTCAATATCATCGAATTATTTACAGAAATTACCGCATATCTCAGAAGTTAAATACACAAAATTCATTCAAGACGTCGGTTTCAATCTCAAACGAATTCCTGATTTAAAGTCACGAAGTTGTATTGAAGTCGGGATATTCCTTTCATTCCCGATGCCTTGCTCAGTCTCCTGAACCGGCCACAAAAGAGATATTCTGATTGCTTTGAACAGACCACTCGAGTCTTCCAATAAATTCACAGTCTCTCTCTCCCTTTGCTTGCCGTGTTCTCGGTGTCCTGCAAGGATTTAAAGTGAATGCCATCGTCAGAGATTGTCGTTTCTTTTTTTGGGGGGGGGGGGAGGGTAAGTTTTTGTCGACCTTTGGATTTCATTTCCATGATAATGCCGTACTCCGTGGCCGTTAAAGACGTTGTGAAATATAATTAAGTTTTTAATAATTTTTTTTATCTCCTCCTGGTAACCTCAAGTGATCATCTAATTTGAATATCTAATTATGATAAATGTGTGTCCTAAATTTAACGATTTACGTGATTTATTGCTCCGTTTGAATTGTAGATATTTGGCGTTAGTTATTATAAATTTTCTCTGTATTTGATCCCCGAATTGCGCCGATAATGGTGGAATAGTTGGCATATGGGGGGCGCAAACGTTCAAATTAGAAGCTGTTCTCATTCACGTACACGAAAGGCAGAAAGTGTCAGATCGATCAGAATTTACGTAAATAGAATTCACCCGCACGCACACACCGTGTATGGGCTCGAACACGGTTTAAAGTCTCGCTGAAACGAAACTTTATTGCACCCTCGTTTCGATTTATTTTAAGATCCTTCGATTCGCGATTGATATACATACGGAAATGCTCGATCGGATTGTGTATTGTAATTTCTGTCGAATTCAATATTCTTATTTTGGTATCGAAGTTGAGGAACTACATAGGTATGCATTACTCAAATTGGTTAATAATTCGATCGAGATTAAGTTTGATTAAATTTCAATAGAGTTTCGGTGATCGAATTAATTACTGATGAATTCTAGACATATTCTGTTGAGTTTAGACCCCATAGATCGTGATTGTCACAATGTCAATTAATTTAAATGTAAGTTTATTAAGGATCATATAGAAACGTGAATAATATTGTATGTCGTGTCTTTATCTTCAGAAAAAGCATATGTAATTATTGTTATTTGTAATTAGACGGCGACACGTGTGTAAGATTACCAGTGACTGTAAATGTGGGTCATCTAACGTATAAAAATAGAGTACCACGGATGCGATGCAACTTCGTTACTTCTTTCCATTCTTTACTTTCATCCAATTTACGGACAGTTTAAATTTTAATTATACGCGAGAAACAGACTCAATTTACATACAGGAGACATTGTTTAGGTGAACAAAAGAGTACTGGCAGAAAATTCGAGGAAAACCTAAATTTCGACATGGAACTTGAAGCTGAAATGTTTTTCAAATGTGTATATATTTTTCCCTAGAATTTTCTTCGTTTATAACCATCGAATGGCCCCCTGTCGGGGCCCTGACCCAGGTTTTCAAGGATATAATGGAACCACTATGAAAAACCAAA